CTGCAAGAATCGTTTAGCATCCTCAAATAATTTCTGCACAAACTGTCAGGAACCATCTCAGGGAATCTCATCTGCATGCTCGTCATCCTCTTTGGGGTCTCGACCTGACTGCAGTTTGCCATCATAACCGACTTGAGTGGGCAAATGCTCACATACGTCTGGCACTTTGGAGAGGTGTTCTCTTCATGGATGAATCCCAGTTTTCACTGTGCAGAGCAGATGACGTGTGTATGGCTTCGTGTGGGTGAGCGGTTTGTTGATGTCCTAGATGTGGATCGAGTGGCCCATGGTGGCGGTGGGGTTATGGTATGGGCAGGCGTGTTTCATGGACAACAAACACAGGTGCATTTTATTGATGGCATTTTGAATGCATAGAGATACCATGACGAGATCCAGAGGCCCATTGTTGTGCCATTCATCCACAACCATCACCTCATGTTGCAGCATGATAATGCACGGCCCTATGTTGCAAGGATTACAATTCCTGGAAGCTGAAAACATCCCATTTCTTGCATGGCCAGCATACTCACCGGAGGAATTGGGGCAAAAACAAAAGTGTTGCGTTTATAATTTTGTTCAGTGTAAGAACACAGAAGAGGGTGGGCACATGAGGAACTTTCAGTTTAGGAGTTTGTGTGTGTCTTAGCTTAAAAGCACATTCAATAAAGTTTGCTTCAACATAGTTCTGTATATTTTGTACTGTTTTCTATTTGTGGTTGAACAACTTGTGTTATGAATAGCCATCCAACGTTGTGATGGTTCTGAGATGATCTATAGGTAACTCATCACTATTTCAATGGCTATTAAAATCACTAACACACATTTAAACTGTACATGCTAAAGAAAGAAGTTGAAAATATGAGATGTAAAAATCTATAAAGACAAATACCTGCCAAATATCAGTGTGAACTTAATGCAGCACTGGTTGTGTGTTCTCCAGTTGATGCAAACTCTAAGTTCCATTGTTACGATGCTGCACCATTTGACAGCCCTCAAATATGCTTCTCTATTCGCCAACAAATGTTTAACCCCACATTTCAAAAAGCTACAATGAGAACATTGCTGGTGACACTTTTCTAAAAAACAAAAACAACAACACTACAGCTTATATATTTGGTTTAGATTATAATTTTCGAATTGTCCATTTTGCTTATTTCATATTATTTGTAAAGTGTGTCTGAATGTCTCTGTGGACCTTTCTCTAAGGCTAAGAACAAATGTACTGCCGAAGCATTTTAGAAAGATTTTCAATTTTTCAGAGACAGGCTTCATTTAGCCCCTTAATTACCACATCATAAACCTAAACACGCACATATGAACTTGTTCATTTGTAGCTAAACTAACCTTTTCAACATTTCACACTTTAGTTTCGACATGATGTGATTTCAACTGTACAAAAGTAGCTCATCTCGGCCACACCTACTGACTACCAGTTATGCACAGCGTTCTAACTTTGACAGCTGTATTCAAAACTAACATAGCTATCCTTATTAGCTAGGCTCCTTACATGCTTGCTGATAACTTTTTTGAAGGTGGGTCTCCGACATTGACAACATTGTGTTGGATAGATTTGTGCAGCGGTGTTTAGGAAACTAACTATTCAATTGACAGACAGGTCTGTTGTCAATGTGTTTGCGAGCAACAACTTCCTAAATATAGATTTAGGACACATACAAACACTGGTCATGTATCATGATAATTAACAGCATTAAATCCATTGATTAAAAATGAAGAGATCTTGCAGCTGACCTTTGTATTCATTTTGTTTTTACTTTCACTTTTTGTGCTTTTAAAATACTCATTCTGCTGTCTACTGGGTAGTCTATCATTTTAGTAGTCTGAAGCTTGAAACAATTTAGGAATTTCACTAAAACTCAACCTTTGTATTTTGTTGAAAATAACTTCAATAAAAACTCAGGCTTTATATTTTCTTACAATAACAGATTATACCAAATAAACACTCTGTAGTTAGTTTCTTCTCATAAGTATGATTAAATTTGCTTATTTATTTTTTTCTCACAAGTTGGAGTGTGATTATCGCTCCATGCTATCTAAGAGGGAACTTGTGTCATCATGTACAAGAGAACAGTGGACTCCTGTCGTTCCACACAGTACAAGTGTGGTCCCTTTTTCTGTAATTCAAATCAATAAATAAAATGCATTTCTGTAAGTGTAGACTAAGCACATAGATATGATGACAAAATGTATTGACATTCAGTGGTTGTGAAAACTGGTCAGTTTTGTTTTAGGACTGAACAAGTTTAAAGCTGTAGTCAAAGTCTGATGTGAAATACTTTTTAACAATTAATTAAAACTGAATAGAAAGTATCTTACCTCTAATCATTTAATTTAATTCAACTCTGGTTGTTTTTCTATTTTTGTTCCTTTTTTTGGAATCTAAAATCCATTTTACTCTCCAGGCCTTCAGTGTAGCCCTTTATTTTAATACATGTTGATCTTAAAACACAAGACATCCACTAAACTCAGCCTTTATATTTTTTTAAAAGAATGTATAGAAAATAAAGAGACTATTTAGTTAGTTTATTTTGTCTCAAAAGTATGATTAAATTTGCTTATTTATTATTTTCACACAAGTTGGAGTGTGATTATCGCTCCATGCTATCTAAGAGGGAACTTGTGTCATCATCTACAAGCGAACAGTGGACTCCTGTCGTTCCACACAGTACAAGTGTGGTCCCTTTTTCTGTAATTCAAATCAATAAATGAAATGCATATCTTAAGTGTAGACTAAGCACACAAATATAATGAAAAATTATTGATGTCCAGTGCTTGTGAAAGCTGGCCAGGTTAGTATTTTGGGACAGAACAAGTTTAAAGCTCTAGATGTCAAATGTCAAATATTTTTTATTAATTAATACATTTTTTTATAATTAATTAAAACTGTAAAGAAAGTATCTTTATACTGACCATTTTATTTCTAATTCTACCCTGGTTGTTTTTCTATTTTTGTTCCGGTTTTTAGAATCTACAATTCATTTTACTCTCCTGGCCTTCAGTGTAGCCCTTTATTTTAATACATGTTGATCTTAAAACACAAGACATCCACTAAAACTCAGCCTTTATATTTTGTTTCAAAAGAATGTATAGAAAATAAAGAGACTATTTAGTTAGTTTATTTTGTCTCAAAAGTACGATTAAATTTGCTTATTTATTATTTCACACAAGTTGGAGTGTGATTATCGCTCCATGCTATCTAAGAGGGAACTTGTGTCATCATCTACAAGCGAACAGTGGACTCCTGTCGTTCCACACAGTACAATGTGGTCCCTTTTTCTGTAATTCAAATCAATAAATGAAATGCATATCTTTAAGTGTAGACTAAGCACACAAATATAATGGGGGGGGAAGTATTGATGTCCAGTGCTTGTGAAATCTGGTCAGGTTAGTATTTTGCGACTGAACAAGTTAAAATCTCTAGATAACAAATGTCAAATAATTTTTTATTAATTCATTCATTTTTTATAATGAATTAAAACCATAAAAGTATCTTTATACTGTCCATTTTATTTATAATTCTACCCTGGCTGTTTTTCTATTTTTGTTCCCTTATTTAGAATCTAAAATTCTCCAGGCCTTCAGTGTAGCCCTGTATTTTAATACATGTTGATCTTAAACACCAAGACATCGACTAAAACTCAGCCTGTATATTTTGTTAGAAAAATTAAGAAATTGTGTTTCAAGTGACAGCTTTCTTTACTGAGTAGCTTGTATAATAGCCCCTCTACAGTCTGATAGACTCCCTGGGGCTGCAAGCCATTCACTCTATAGGGGAGTGTTAAGAACGACGTGTGTGAATGAGTCGTTAAAATCTTTGCTTGATCCACTAGAGGCACTGCTGAGTATGGACTTAAACACTCACACACCTGCAGGTCCCCTCTTGACAATAGTTTAAAAAATTACCAGATGGTTTTAGACATGATTTTAGCATGATTTAAAGCATGTCCAACAGGGGACCTAAAAAATGTCCCCTGTTCACTTTTTAGTCCCCTCTTAGTGGGTGTGTAACGACGTCGAGGTCCACTGTTAGATAGGTTGGTAAGTGCACACACACACAGACACGCACACAGACACACCACACAGACACAACACACACACACACAGACACACACACAGACACACACACACACACACGCACGTCAGTCTCCTCAGATTAACGTCGTGTCGCAGCACTGATGCTAATAAAGTTGAGTGAAGACATCGACACTGGAACAATTATTTTAAATATTTTTACACATTTTATAATTTAAAAGTTTATTTTTTAAAACTGTTTTCTTACAGATAAATAACAGGAACGATAAACAAACAGTCTGTTTCATTTAAAATGAAATGTTATTCATTAAATGTAATAACATTATGTGTTTGTGTACTTTTACTGCTGATACTTTAAATACAAGCTCATAATACATGTGTACTTTTACTGCTGATACTTTAAATACAAGCTCATAATACATGTGTACTTTTACTAAAGATATTTTAACTACATGAAGTAGAAAATACTTGTGTACTTTTACTGCTGATACTTTCACTTTTAAGTCCCCTCTTAGTGTGTGTGTAACGACGTCGAGGTCCACTGTTAGATAGGTTGGTAAGTGCACACAGACACACACACACACACACAGACACACACACACACACGCACACCACACACACACACACACCCACACCCACACACCCACACACACACACACAGACCACACACAGACACACCCCACAGACACACACACAGACACACACACACAGACACACACACACACACACACACACACACACACACACACACACAGACACACACACAGACACACCCACACAGACACACGCACACAGACACACACACACACACACACACACACACCCACACACACACACACACACACGCACGTCAGTCTCCTCAGATTAACGTCGTGTCGCAGCACTGATTGCTAATAAAGTTGAGTGAAGACATCGACACTGTGAACAATTATTTTAAATATTTTTACACATTTTTATAATTTAAAAGTTTATTTTTTAAAACTGTTTTCTTACAGATAAATAACAGGAACGATAAACAAACAGTCTGTTTTCATTTTAAAATGAAATGTTATTCATTTAAATGTAATAACATTTATGTGTTTGTGTACTTTTACTGCTGATACTTTAAATACAAGCTCATAATACATGTGTACTTTTACTGCTGATACTTTAAATACAAGCTCATAATACATGTGTACTTTTACTAAAGATATTTTAACTACATGAAGTAGAAAATACTTGTGTACTTTCACTGCTGATACTTTAAATACAAGCTCATAATACATGTGTACTTTTACTGCTGATACTTTAAATACAAGCTCATAATACATGTGTACTTTTACTAAAGATATTTTAACTACATGAAGTAGAAAATACTTGTGTACTTTCACTGCTGATACTTTAAATACAAGCTCATAATACATGATGATCCCTGAGGGGAAATCAAATCTTTTTGTCGCAGTTGCTCATCAACAGAAATTTAAAAGTAGGAAGATAAATAAATATATAAAGAGTATCAATATAAAAATGATATGTACAATATTTACATTATTAAATAATATAATGTTAAATGCAGTATTTGCACTCTGCAGTACTGGTAAGCGACTTTTACTGCTGATACTTTAACTAGCCTACATGAAGCTGAGAATACTTGTGTACTTTTTACTTCAGAGTAAATGCAGCGGCTGTAACAGAGTATTTTACTCACCTTGCTCCTGCAGTTTGTGCAGCAGCCCCGCAGCTCGGATCTGGTCCGGTCCTCCCTCCACTCCGCCTCGAGGCTGCAGAAGAAGAAGTACAGCTGTGACGGCAGCGCGCGCACACACACACACACACAAACACACACAGGTGAACCGCGTCTCGTGCCCTCACCTGTCCCTTGGAGAAAGGGGCCCCGATGATCCCCACGGACCTCTCCTGGTGATTATGATGATAATGATGATGATGATGCTGAAGGCTCCGCCTGGAAAGCGTCGCGAGCTGCCGCAGCGTCCTCGCGCTCATCATGCTGACTGATCCGCAGACTCACCGTCACCGACAGGCGGCTGCTTTAAACTACCCGGTGACGTCACCGAGCTGACGGTGGGGGCGGCCGGGAGAGGAGGTGATTGTCATTTCGAAACCAAAACAATGTGCACAAATACTCGATTACAATTCAAAACCCTACTTAGCAGAAGTGTTACACAAGGAAACAGATGCATACGGGAATAAAGTAATAATGAAACTCAGAAAGAATAAATATAGAAAGAGGATTTTATGAAACCGATCACATGACCTCTGAGCTGAACATTACAACATCCAAACTAATTAAAATGAAGTTGATTGTTGATTAAGCTCCAGCTGCAGTCATCTCCCTGTTTTCATCTGCATGTTGACGGAGCTGTTGGTGTCTTGGGTGTTTGTCAACAGGTTGGTACTGAAAAAGATCCATTTAAGCTGACCTCAGGACAGTTCTGGTGAGTTTTTAAGAGTGTCACAACAGGCATTGCGGTTGATGAGTCACAGCTGGGGAGGATGTGACCTGCCTGAAAGGTCACCAGTTTCTCGACAGTGTTACACAAGGAAACAGATGCATACGGGAATAAAGTAATAATGAAACTCAGAAAGAATTAAAGCTGCAAGCAGCGTTGGGCGGGCCCTCGCACTTGTAGCGCGTCCGCGCGTGAACCCGCCGAGTTGCATATTCTGGAGCTCTGCCGGTGCAGCTGTGAATTTCCTACGCGGTTATAACACCGCATGAAGGTGTTATATGTCACTTCCTGTGTCCCCTATGTGGAGCTACATAGCACTTGCCGCTATGAATATAAATTGGTATTGATGTGTAGATGTCTGCGGGGTGGGAGAGTTATCAAGCACGTAAAGTTTGTTTCAGATGTGAGCATGTACACTGAACAATAATGTACCCAAACAATAAAATAAATTCCTTTTATATTTCCCTGCCTTGTTGTTTATGTGTACATACAGAGGAAGAATGTGAGAACAGCACACATTTCATCGTTACTGTGTGTTAGAGCATGGGAGAACAGTGGATACTTTTAATACAGCCCACACCCCTAATACTGTGTAACTATAACAAGTAGAGAACAGAAGAAAAAGATGTTCTTTCTTTACAACTGTCTGCATAGCTTATTCATATTGTGTAATGAATGAAAATAAATAGGCCTACTAGGCTCCTCTCTACTTTGACATTTAAGATTAGCTGGTTTGATCCACCTTCATACACATGTGACATTACTGTACAACTTGAGAAAGGTGAGTTGTTTTCTGCTCCAGCCTGCCTAAAAGAAAAGCGTTTTTGGGATTAAATGGACTTTATTAGCTGCTGCAGTGCAGGATGAACTCAGAATAGACCCATTTCTCACCTTATTATTCTAAATCATGCAACGAAGAAGAAGAAATGCATAAGAAATCCTGGGACAAAATCTGTCCACAAATACTGTACAGCATGTAGTCTGATGATCAAGACTTGTGTTATAGCTGACTTGGGCAGTGAAATGTTTAATTTTTTTAATTCATGTGGTCATAGTTGTCCACAACTCAAATCAGAATATAAGAAGAAATGTTTTATACCACCTCAAGAAGGCTTCCTATCAGAAAGGTAGGAAGGTATTTCAAATGTACAACTGCAGTACTTAAATCTAAGTAAAGTAATTTCCCTGACATTTTTGTTACTTTACTTTTAATAGACGCATGTAACAGGTTTTATACTTCCTGTGAGTATAATCCAATCAATCTTATTTTCATACTGTATATCCGTTGTGTAATTTGATAAATTGTGTTGTATGTCGTGCTCGCATCTCAGAGAAGACTCTGACTGCAACATGCGTCTTTGTAAAGAGAGAAACGGACAGAAAAAGTCTCTAACTCTGCCTGTCAGCTCGCTCTGCTCCGTTAAAACTGAATTTACCATACAGAATTGAATACGAGTGCACTCCAGATTTAGCTGCAGCCAGCTGACCCTATACCGCAGTTCTGTGTCCATGCATGCAGCAAACTGAAAGCACTGTCTGTCGGAGCGTCTACATGAAAAGAGAAAGAAGACATGGCTGGTAGTTGTTAAACACCTCAGCGCACTGAAGGAAGCCATCTGACTGTGTGAGGGGCAAGATCGTTGATGTCTGCAGGCAGAGTAGGAGCTCTCCTGTCTGACTGGTCCACCAATAGCAGAGAAGATGACCCCTTGAGACACAGCACCTCCTCATTTGCATAATGAGGCAGAAATGCATACAGAAATTTAAAAAGGACAGGAAGTAATAAAAGAGAAAGAAAATAAATAAGGTAAATAAATACAAAGGATGAATAAAACAGACAAAAATATTAAAACACACATAAATAAATACATTAAAAAAATTAGTAATAAATAAAGTTGAAGATTATAACGGAGAATAAATAAATAAGGTAATTATAACAAAGGTGAATAAGTAAAGGCACTAATTAAAATATATACATTTATGTCTCCTTGTATAATTTAATTACTACCTACATTTATTTATTTACTTTATTTTTTTGTGTATTTAATTGGATGCTTATTTATTTATTGAGCATTTATTTATTTCTGTATTTATTTCTGACTGTGTCAGGATCGGTCCTCCATAGCGGGGTGGGAGAGTTATCAAGCACGTAAAGTTTGGTGCAGATGTGAGCATGTACACTGAAGTTACAACAACTTCCTGTGTCATGGCGAAGACTTGATCTCTGACGCCACGCCACGGACACACCCATTGACGAAAACTCGCAAATAGCACAACTTTTCA